AGAGCAGAAAAAGCCAAAGCACAAGCTGAATACACAGAAGTAAACAAACAAGTGAAGAGGAGCATCAGAACCGACAAACGTAAATATGTGGAAGATTTAGCAACGACGGCGGAAAGGGCTGCAACGGAAGGAAACATGGGACAACTGTATGACACGACAAAGAAACTCTCTGGAAATCGCCGCAAACCAGAACGACCAGTGAAAAGCAAGGAAGGCGAGGTAATCACCAACATTGAAGAGCAACAAAACAGGTGGGTAGAACACTTAAAAGAACTCTTGAATCGACCAGCTCCACTGAACCCACCCAACATCGAAGCAGCACCCACGGACCTCCCAATCAATGTTGGCCCACCAACAATTGAAGAAATCAGCATGGCCATCAGACAAATCAAGAGTGGCAAAGCAGCAGGACCGGACAACATCCCAGCAGAGGCACTAAAAGCAGACGTAGCGGCAACTGCAAGGATACTCCACATTCTCTTCAATAAGATTTGGGATGAGGAACAAGTACCAACAGACTGGAAAGAAGGACTACTGATCAAAATACCGAAGAAAGGCGATCTCAGCAAGTGTGATAACTACAGGGGCATCACCCTTCTCTCAATAGCGGGAAAAGTCTTCAACAGGGTATTGTTAAACAGGATGAAGGACTCCGTAGACGCCCAACTTTGTGACCAACAGGCAGGATTCCGTAAGGATAGATCGTGTACAGACCAAATCCCAACTCTACGGATCATTGTGGAACAATCAATTGAATGGAATTCATCACTCTACATCAACTTCATCGACTACGAAAAGGCATTTGATAGCGTGGACAGAACAACACTATGGAAACTTCTTCGACACTACGGCGTGCCTCAGAAGATAGTCAATATCATACAGAACTCATATGATGGATTACACTGCAAAATCGTGCATGGAGGACAGTTGACAAAGTCGTTCGAAGTGAAGACCGGTGTCAGGCAAGGTTGCTTACTCTCACCCTTTCTCTTTCTCCTGGTGATCGACTGGATCATGAAGACGTCAACGTCTGAAGGGAAGCGCGGGATACAGTGGACATCTAAGATGCAGTTGGATGATCTAGACTTCGCAGACGATCTGGCCCTTCTATCCCAAACGCAACAACAAATGCAGGAGAAGACGAACAGTGTGTCAGCAGCCTCAGCAGCAGTAGGTCTCAATATACACAAAGGGAAAAGCAGGATTCTCCGATACAACACAGAATGCACTAATCTAGTCACAATGGACGGAGAAGATTTGGAAGATGTAAAAACCTTTACGTATTTGGGCAGCATCATTGATGAACATGGTGGATCTGATGCAGATTTGAAGGCGCGGATCGGTAAAGCGAGAGCAGCATATTTACAACTGAAAAACATCTGGAACTCAAAGCAACTGTCAACCAACACTAAGGTCAGGATTTTCAATACAAATGTCATGACAGTTCTACTGTATGGGGCAGAAACCTGGAGAACTATGAAAGCCATCATCCAGAAAATACAGGTGTTTATTAACAATTGTCTACGCAAAATACTTCAGATCCATTGGCCGGACACTATTGGCAACAACGTACTGTGGGAGAGAACAAACCAGATCCCAGTGGAAGAAGAAATCAGGAAGAAGCGCTGGAAGTGGATAGGACACACATTGAGGAATGCACCCAACTGCGTCACAAGACAAGCCCTCACATGGAATCCTCAAGGCGAAAGGAAAAGAGGAAGATTAAAGAACATATTACACAGGGAAATGGAGATAGACATGAGAAAAATGAACAGGAATTGGATGGAAGTAGAAAAGAAGGCCCAGGACAGAGTGGGTTGGAGAATGCTGGTCAGCGGCCTATGCTCCATTGGGAGTAACAGGCATAAGTAAGTAAGTAAGTCCTAGTGGCTAATTTAGCAAGGGGATTTTCAGAGTTCTAGTGAGAAACCATGATGGATGTAGTCCACTCGCATCGAATGTGAGGAGGGTACTCATTGAAGACAATGGAAAACATGTAGACCAGTGTTGTAAATGGTATGGTCTCACCATGAGACCAGAGGGTTTTGGTTCCATCCTTGGTGTTGGAGTCGTAAATGGGTACTACTGAAAAGTCTCATACTGTGGAGAAATAGCTGTCCGATGCGCCTAGTTTTCCAATGGATGTCTAACTTACATCGGTTTGTGATCTCAAAAATATATAGAGTATATGTACTTGGCTATCCAAAGCACCGCTGGTTATTGTAGTATATCCAAAAGCCTATTCTGATTACCAAATCGTCGTAAGGGAAGCTGAAAATTACCCTACACTTATCATAGCCAAGGTATTTTGAAAATTCTTGATAAAATTCATAGGTTGGTTTATTTACGTTCGTAACATGATTGAACCAGACTCTAAACTATTACTAGTGTTGGTATCTTTTGTGAAAGTTTCCAAAACCCATGTATACTGGTGACTGCATAAATACTCTTTGACTGGCCTCATAAATAAATGTCATGTAGGTTTATGAGTAAGTTTTGAATTCAACGGTTGTAATGTCATAAGAGCCTAGAAACCGGTGTAGTAGATTAAATTATGTCAACCATTAATTAAATTTTCATCCAAAACATAACGCAATCTGTGCAGAGCTTATCAAACTGATCCAATAAAATTTTCTATCCTGATTATGTGAAATACATGGTAAATGAAGTGAAGACAATAGGATCTGAATTCACCTGTAGAGATGATCATTACTTGATATCGATTTCCTGAATCTGTCATAAAACAAGTGTTTGTATAGTTAATTATTTCATCATTCAGATTGGATATCAGTTGAGTATTTAGGCAAACCAAATAAACTTTTAATTCATTTTTGTATTGGTTGTTTGGATTTTACCACTGATATTTAGGACTGTAACTGATCGGTTTCTTATTGACATATGTACATCTTGTTCGGATTGTCTCGATACTGCCACTAAGTCACAAGCATTATAAACAGAGATGGATAGTGGTTAGCAGTGAAATCCAGGAAACTCATTCCAACCTCTTTGGTGCATCCAGCTGATGAGTCGCTATCACACCATCCACTTAGCTACTGAGTTCAGATAGCCACTAGCTTGTGCAATGGGGAAATCTCAAGACAGTTTTTTTCTAGAAGACGATACTACTAGAGGAACAAAACGTGAACAAAACAGTTCACAGACCAAGACTCATGAGTAGTGCATGGACTGTAAATGTGTCGGAAGAATTATCAATAAGAAAATGAGTCTTTTAAACAATTTTATCAAGACAGAGTAACAACATATACTGTAAATTACTACCATAAGCAACCAGTAGAAATTTCAAAACTGAAGTGGACGGCTTCAATACTCAAAATTTGGAAGTTTTAATAAATAATACACAAGATGGAAAACAAACGAAAAAAGTGAGAAGGAGATACTATTACAATAGAATAATAGGTAAAAACATAGGGAGTATACCCAAATTTTTAGGAGTAGTAGTATATTGCAGCACAGAAACGATGCGTTACAAATTCCAAGAATGATTGATTAAAACATAAGCTGTTGAATATTAATGAGTAGTATAGCAGATACACGAAAAAGGGATGGTCAATGAAGCAATCCAAAATATTTTTAACACCTGAACAGTTATAACAAATCCAGTTATATTTATATTATATATTATTATATGGCTGTGAGAGCTCTTTTTTTCCTTAACCTGACTGTTCACTTGTATTGCTTACTAGTCCACGTTGGTGCTTTGAAATTATCGTGGATTACACCACTAAGAGCGACATAATTAGACTGTTGTTCATTGATTACGGTAATAGTCACTATATTTGATGTATCACGTTTTCGAGATTTTTAAGGACCAATTTATCGCTGATTTCAATAGTTTGCGAAATATTCACTTAGTATTTATATCTATTGTCCATTATCGTCTTCATGTACGGTTCTAAAACTGATACAGAAGCTTTCAATATACAAGTTCAAATGAGTATTTGAGTGAGTATTATGTCAGGATGAAAAGTGAAAATTAGATTGACTTACTCATTATGATTTTTATTCAACATTAATTCCGTTTCATTCAATTTGATAATCACTCAGTATAGTATTTGTTTCGTTTTCCCTGTATGACATTTTATTTTGTATAATATACAATAATCTTGTATGGATTATTTTTCATCTATGTTATTTATTCTCATTACCAATCAAAAATGCATGTACAAACCAATGTATAAATGAGTGTATTTCCAACTAAACTTGTTCATGATTGCTCGTACTTCTGGCTACTTGTGGAATACATTTTCCCGTTTCGAACTTGAACTTCTTTCTCTAATTAACGAGACTCAGATACATAAAACCGGCTAGCTTATTTGGTCTTTGGTCATAGAGTGTTTATTCCATTTGCAGATTAGGTGAACTCGTAATCACTTCAAACATAGCAGTGAGGAGCCCGAGAATTGTGAAAACGGATCTTCATTGGCTGAATATATATATATATATATACCTTAGAATTTTAAGCCACACGTCCAACCAATGTTATGTCTCATTTTTTACAAAAGATGATCGAATTTCAGACAATAACAAACGCTTATCATTTGATTGATGTCTATGTTGAGTGGGCTCTCTGAGAACTGCAACGGAGCCTCCAGAAACCCTAAAGGAGCCGAAGAGTCCTAGCCAATCAGGGCATGATGGAGCTTTCTAGAATGTCCACGTGGCGTGCTACTATTGGTTAATAGCATAATATGTCTTTTAGCGGATTGGCCAAAATATGATGTTGATTTAATAAATGTTAACATCTATAAATACCCGTGTTTTCTGTACAAAAATGAACCTTGGAGTAAAGTATTTCTTGCATATTTTGCGTCTTCTCTCCTGTGTTCAGGTCGCTGTATAATTCTAGCTTGGGGGTTACAGAATAGCTTAAGAAACGAACATAGCGTTCAATCCGCAAGATATATCAGTCTAATTAAACTCATTATATCAATATTATTACCTTATTACTATTAAACTAAAATAATATAAAATCACATTTACATATTTTCATAATAAATGTTTATTTTGTTTTATTATTATAATTGAAAATCACAATTTACCCATATCATCATTAAACATAATGTAAAAGTAGTCATTCAAATGATTATCAACAATATAAATAATTCCTAGATAAGATTCCAAACAACTGAATCATCATTAATTTAAAGAAAAAATAATAATAAAACCATAGCAATATGTACTGCTTTTTCTTCAACAACAACAAAAAAAAAGAAGGAAAAGAAACAAAGAAAGGAAAACTCAACAGGAACATACTTTTTTTATAAAAAAAACAACAAAAAACTGGTTATTAATAAAACCTAAAAGTTGGCTTAGAAACTATGTAATAATAAATTATTGATTATTGTTACTTGGCTCATTTAAAAAGTGTGATATAATTCAACTTTTCAATATTTTTATTTATTATTAGAATTTTTTTCTTTTGAAAGTTATTTCGTTGTTATCACTAATGATACTTGCCTAGAGATAAAGTTTTAAAAAAAGAGAAGTAGAAAAACAAAACGAAACATTAAAGAAAAAAACGGAGAAAAATTGACAAATGCGCGTTTGAACCTGGTGTATGTATGTATGTGTGTATGTATGTGTGCGTATGTGTGTGCATGTGTATGTGTACGACATTATTTATTAATTTTGATATTCGTTATGTTATGAGTTAAGTTAGATTTTAATTTAATATATCAATTTGGCATCAAAATAGAATGATGTTACATGATTATAGTAAGGGAAAAGAATGGGAAATGATCTATGATTACGAATACTTTTCTAAAGAAGATCAATCAACAGTGATGAATTGATTTGATTAGATTTTCATAATTTATGTTTATACACTAAAATATTAAATAAAATTTAGAATAAGAGAAAAATAAATTGAAAATTAATATATTTCAAATAATTTTATTAGTTGAGGTCATGAGTCAATTGAAGCTAGAACACTGGACGGCCGTTTCATTCAAATGTGAGACTTCTCAACAGTGCGCATCCACGATCCCGCCACTCACGAGATTCTGAATCAGGACCTATTAGTCTCACACGTGAACGCTTAAACTCTACACCACTGAGTCAACATCAACTAATCCACGAAATTCAGCGACACATCCACCATTGTCATCAGTGAGTCACTATCTAACAACAGACTGATTACTGCTTCTTACTAGAACTCCAGAAAATACCTCTTGAAGCCAGTTACTAGTGAGCATACGATGATTATTATGAGAAGGGGTTTTGTGGTTATTATAGTAACTTTTAATAGTTGAGATCATGAGTCAATTGAAGCTAGACTACCATGGAAAACCTGGAAGCACTGGACGATCGTTCCGTCCTATTGTGGGACTCCTCAGCAGTGCACATCCACGACAAATGGTAATTTAAGCTTGGTTAATCATTAAACATCAAAGATATTTTCCTATAAAATAGGTTGGTTATAGTCAGTAGTGGAATATAGGACACGTGTTCGGTCTCATTAAGGGTTCATCAGCTACATTCACCTGTACCCAATTACTGATTTCAACATCAAAGTTATTAAACAAGTTAGTGGTTATCTAGAATTAATAGCTCGGTTGATAACGCCTTTGTAGCGAAAGGTTCTTGTTTCTTGTCTCACTATGAAAAACAAAACCAGGATGTGGATATACAAAACTGAAAAGTCTTGAATCGAACAAGACACCTGTCCTGGATTTCCCTGTTAGTTATAATCCATCTATTCTCTAAAACTTGTTACAAAATAGCTATTTTGAGGCACGTTTCATCAGATGCATATAAGTCAACAAAATTGAGTCCAAAATACCAACAACAGGATTATTCAACCCCTTTATAATAATGGTTATAGATGTCTGTCTAAACAAGAATTTCACATATTGTTTTAAAATCATGGCCAGTCAGTCAGTTAATCATCGGGAAACTTAGTTTTTGAAATCAGCATCATTTTCTTATTTAAGAGGAGATATTGTCAAACTTGTACTAAACTGAATGGCATCTGTGAAAAATATTAGATATATAACGCTGTGCTGGTCATTTAAATTTCATCCTTAAGATTGTGAAAGGTTATTCTAGTAGGAAGTATTGATCTTGTGTGATACATTTTTACTGGTTTGGACACTTTACCGATGTAATCGCCAGGCATGTACTATAATTAGGTGTCTTCTATAATGTCATCGAATTTTTCTTTTACTATATAGTACTTACCATCTGGTTTTTTCATCCCCCTTAATGAATATCGTTTACTACACTCTTACTTATAAAGCTGCTTGCAATTTTTAGAAATACCTATTCGACCAAGTGGGGTTCTCCTACTTAATAAACTGTACTAACTAACAAGTTACATAACCTTACTAGATATAAACTTTGGACACGTATGGATTTATAAATAAATAAATAAAGGGATTTACAATTTGTTGTTAAGACTGAACATTTAAAGGCTCACAAATTATGTCGTTTGTTTTAAAAGTTTAACATTTCTGAATTGAAAATATAGTTTGATGATTTGGATGAGCGAGGCAACAGTACAATTCGATGAATTGGAAGATTGATTCAATCAATGCTATGGACGAGAATATGTTGACTATCATCCATTAAATTCTATAATTTAGTACTCAATATCAGCTCACATATAAATAGACACTCACATTTTTATTTAATCTATGACAAAATTAAATGCACGTTTTTGTATTAGGATATGTAGTCAACGGTTTATTGTTGAACCAGGATTTTAAAATATTATGAATGACATTTGTCAATTGTTAACTGAAGAAATAATGTGGGCTTTTTTTAGTGGATTAGAGATAGAATACTTAATGTCTTTAATAAGAAGGCGTTACATACTGGTGAATAGCAGTTGGACTGTTCAAGAAATATGAAATCTGTCTGATCGAAACTAGTTCAGTTTTCAGGTAATACTCATTCAATGTCTTTCCAGAGACCCAGCCCTGAATCTAATGGCGTCATAGAAATTAGTTTGATTTATCGGTTTTATTCATCTCAGTGTTATCCCACAATGAGAACAGTTTGTGACGAATACAGTCTACAAATTCTGTTATTTATCAGACTTCTTACAAGAAATTGTATCACTTCTCTTTCTCATTTAGTTCAATATTTGTGAAAACCAAAGATGTGATATTTAAAAATAAACATCAAAAATATGTCTTTGAAGGTGGATGCACTAATCTTAATCCCGTAAATGAGAATGAAAGACATTGTGATATTTGAATGTGGAACAGACCAACCTTAAAAAAAATTGTTTGAAACCTATTCGTGAATTCTTCAAAAAACCTTAAAAAAATTACTGAAAATACAATATGAATATAGTGCTGTATTGAGTAGAAGCAGGCCGCAAAACTAACTTTGATGGAATTGAGATCCTTTAAAAAGGTTTTATTTCATGTAACAAAACAACCTTACAGTCAGCTCTTACAAATAATGGATGGATTCAAATAATATGTGAATGAATGAGATGATATTAAATTATCTGTACCTTAGCATAACCCAGTTGTTCGGAAGAAAATCGTATTCTTATTTAATCTTTAGTATTCCATTTTTAGTGAACTCAACACCACCTAGTTACATGAAGCATGTTAAGATTTTATAAGGATTCCTCGATAATATCTTCAAAAACTAGAAGAGTATGGGGAACATTTTATGTAATCAGTAAATCAATAGATCTACCGAATTGGACAGTTCTTCAAACTTACTTTTAGTTATCAGTAAACGGGTTGTTGTCGATATTGTTGAGTTATATGTAAACCGTTAATCGACCTATGTTAGATAATCATTGAAAATCGGGTAGCAGTGGATAGTTAATTCGCCATAGTATAGGATTCCTTAGTGAAGGTGATCATCAACAAGCACATTAAGGATCTATCTAACCAATGGCCTTCATGACTATTCACTTGATTTTTAAACAACTTTTCTAGAAAAATTACAAATTATTTATTCACCTGACTAATTCCAACATATCAGATGGCTTTTGTGGATATTATAGTAATTTCAATGGTTAAGATCATGAGTCAGTTGAAGCTAGACGACGATGGAAAACCTGGAAGCGCTCGACGGTCGTTTTTTCTTAGTGTGGGACTCCTCAGCAGTGCGCATTCACGACCTCGCCTCCTGCGAGATTCAGACCCAGGACCTACTGGTTTCGCGCGCGAGCACTATTATTAACTACTGATCAACATATACTCACTAGTGACTGGCTTCAAGAGGTATATCCTGGAGTTCTTAGTGAGAAGTAGTGACCAGTGGAGTTCAACCAGGTCTGTTGCCAGATAGTAACTCACTGAAGACAATGGTGGATGTGTCGCTCGATTTTACGAATTATTTGAAGTTAGACATTAACACCGCTGGTTGCCGGTTCAGTGGTATAGTGGTCAAGTGCTCAGTTAGTTGTATTAATTCATTTAAATAATAAACCCTACATTCAATATCATTCTGTATTACTAACTGATTAAAATGGGAAATGTTAATCATTTTATGTTGAATCAATCATCTTAAAGATCCTAGGATCAATCTTGTGGCAAATAATGTATGTATACTGTTGATAAGTTCTATATTGGGACCAAACAAATAGTCCAATACATTCTGGCTTTCAGTATTTGCTTTAACTACTTTCAGTCTACGATATAAGACACTGTATATATATTTGTAATAAGATATAATTTCCTTTAATTAATCTAAACATACCTGTATGAATATCACAAATATTTCATCATTTTTAACTGAAATGAAAAATAAATTGTAATGAATAGCAATGATGATAGCAATATTTAATTAAATCACAAGGGTTCAAATTCATTTCAAAGACAATGGACGTTTTCTATAGATTGTTCAATTTCAACGAAAGTAGGATAGTTTCATTGAAATCACTAACTGATTTAAGTTAAACAGCCATTGAAAAAAACAACCTGAAAGTACTAAATGACCATTTCGTCGTAGTATGGGACTCTTCAGCAGTGATTATCCACAAACCCAGAGCTGGAAATAGAACTTAGGAAACTTGTATAAGTTGAGAAATTTGTGAAGAGTTTACCGTAAAGATAGTTAATATCAGGAATTATTTCAGCTGAGACAACTTTCAAAGATCATGAAACACTGAACTTTAACTAATTTTGTAGATGATAGGTTTTCTGAGTGAACTAAAGGTTTAGAGCTCTATCGCTGGAATGGTCATGTAGGCGGACTGTTGAAGAGTTTCATACTAGAACAGAACAGCTGCCTACCGCCCTCTGATTTTCCATTGCACAAAACTCTCCTAATCAAAATATAGTTCAAGTCATTTAAAACATAATTGAATGTAAGATATGAATTTTTTCAGTCTTTAATTGGCTAATGATCGTGAAACTGTTGTGTCTTTATGGCCCACTAGTTATCACATAATTTATTCGTCAATCAAAATACGACTTATTCGCTCTTGTACTGCACTAAACCAATTTCGTTCAGTCTGATCAGCCTAGCGTCCTATTGGTCCGTTGCTCACCTAGCCCGTCCAGCTGAGTCCAGAATGCCAATAACAGTCTTCACCATGCGAATCCGTTATTTCAGACATACTGGGTTTATGTATCAACCAAATAGACCGCAACGCGCCATAAAATGAGAAATAACATTTATACACAATAAAGCCAGAAAGTGGCTGTGGACGTGGGAGACAGTAATTAATAAACTGAGTATAACTTATGAACAGTAAATCGTACAATAATAATCTATAGGTCAAAATAAAGCTTATAATAAGAGGAATATAAATATACATAATCTAATTATTGAATAGTCATACCATAGGAATATATAGATAATATTAGTCCTTTAATAGGTCTCAGGAGTTACTCGTAATTTAATCTTCACTAGGATATAACAGAAACCTATGAGGCTTACTTATTGCGTTTGCTAATAAATATGAACATTTCTACATGTAACTAATAGACATCTATTCCTATTCTTGTGTAATAATTTACTATGAAATACATATCTATGTATAAAACTAATCTTACCTCAGATTGTTTATAATCATGATGAGTTTGAATTAAAGTTTGAATTCTATGCAAACGACGATTTAAATCATAATTAGTTAAATCATTCAATTTGTCACGATTGTATAAAACTTTAAAACACTGAAAATACATAGAAACATAAAAACAGAATTGTATAATTAAGGAATAGTTCTTTGTAAAAAGAAAAAAAGGAAGGACTTTGGCAAAGTGAACAATTCATTACTTTTAATCCTAATAGTATGACATTGGTGTTAGTGTCAAAGTACTAGAGTAAGTCATGCAAATAACAACCATTAAGATTTATATAATCTCTGTTTACTCTATAAGAGCAAATAAGAGATATAAACCACTTTCGTATCTTAAGTAGTGAAGGTTACTTTTCCGAATGCAACAATATTGGAAGTTGGAGTTAAGAGTCACCTCAGCTTGTAGTAGTAAGTCATTGCTAATAGTATTGGATAATCGATTTCTATATCGACAATTGAAAGTTGGTAATATGGATAATTGTTTTCAAATTCAGTAATATAAAGACAATACACCCAGTCCCACTACTGCTGAGGTGTCTCATATTAGGACAGTAATAACCTTTAGTCTTCAGTAATCTTCAAATGATAATGACGACCGATATCAATCCATGAAAACAATCATCTTTACATAAAATCAATCTCCACAAACGTTTAAACCTAATGAATATCAATATTGATCCAACAAGTGATTTTTCTGTTAGATAAACTTCTCTTAGCAACATAAATCTAACAGCTCAGTCTATTCTCTTCATCTTCTAATCTCTCTCGATTGGACAGTTTTGATTTAGAGATTAATGTGGTTAGAGTAAGGTAGAATATTTCGTTATTACGTACCAGTCTACAGTTAATCATTAATTCACTTTCCTTCTGAGAAATGAACAATTGTGACGTATATGTCCTTTGATATTTTAAGTTATGGGAGAGATTCTCAGGTCAGATTGACATTTAAGATGTTTTTCCTGTAGTTTAGATGTCATTCTGGATAATATTATCAACTCCTACTTCACGTGGATACATATGATCAGAAAACATTTTTATATTAACTACTTGTAATGTAGTTAAGTAGTTTATTTAAATTCCTCAAAACTATGATCATTGAAAACCTGGAAGCATTGGACGGCAATGGACAGCAGTACTCATACAAGACCTCATACGCGGGGATCGAACCTAAGAAACTTGATCTCGCATCTCCACAAGCCTTTACCTACAGTTTATTTAAGTTCAGAGAATTATTAACAAGTAGTCTTACTTACAACGTATACGGCTATACAAATACCGATAATCCAACCGGCTAAAATATCTTCAAACCAGTTATTTCTGTAAATCGCTCTATTGACACCAAGGATTAGAGCAATTAGACTAACACCAAGCAATGATAAGAATGGAATGCAAAGACAGGCATCTCGAAAATTTTTCATTAATGCTGTAATATAGACCTAGAAAAGACAATAACAAATAATGCAAAAAAACTATCAGTTATCAAAGTGATTAGTTTGTACTCGTTAACACTTTCAAGCTTTCTATCACAAAAAGAAGTAACCACAAACGTTTGACAGGATGAGAAATCAAGTTTACATAAACAGTAGTATGTATCTTTATTTTTCAATAAAAACGTGTGAGTTTCTTCATTATTACTGGTGAAAACAGGTTGAATATAATTGGAGCGTAGCCATTAAACTGAGTAGTTCAACTCGTATAGAACATTATCTCCCCGAAGATTGCAGCTACGCCTTGATAACCAATGCCAAATATTATAAATTATAGGTCTAGGGTTTCTTTCTATCTATTTCCAACAACTAGCAACAAGTTTGCCATTCTCTAAAGTGTGGCGGGATAGAATGAACTTTGTTGTCCGGATTAATTTTTTTCCAGTGAGTGAGAATCATCATTAAACTATTATGTGAGGATTGATGTAGGATTTTTTAATTTTATATAAAACAACTTCATTAACTGTAGTTGTTTAGTAAATGAGAAACGCTGATATTTGGCGTTAACGTTAGGCAAATATGAAAAAAACAATTGATGAAGTAATGGACTTTTGACGGCTGAGGTGGTTGAAATATATGACACATATGCCCAAACACTTTCTGTCTTTACGAACAGTGTTTTTTAGTGTAAAACCAAGTTGGAAATAAGCTAGAGGTTGGTAAACCAAAACGTGATATCAGTACATGAAGACGCTGATTATTGGACTAATTCGTTTTAGGTAGGGGTCCATTCAGTAGTTATAATCAGTAGTTTGTGACTGGGTGGGATAGCTCAAAATCGGTTATACAGACGCAAATGCATTCACTCTTTATCTTTCTCTGAATCTCGATTTTTTATAAATCATGTCATACATTTTATCCAATCAGCTCGTTGTTTGTTTACGAATTATTATTTTTTTCTATCTAATACTTTCTACTATTACTACTGTAATTGTTGAGACGACGGCGATTTATAGCCCAAGTGGATGATTTTGATAGAGTTTCGTTATCTGAGTCGGATGGTTTAATCATGGAGCTTTTTTTGTTTCTGAACAACACTATCAGCACAAACTTCAGGAACGAAACTCCACCAAAACTATAACTGTCACCAGTTCTACTGCTCTGATACTTATCTTTTTAATTTTAATTCACTATGTTCATTCAACGCTACAACTTCGGACGACTTAAATATATCTGTATCAGATTCTACGTTGTTTATGACATAATCCATTACGCAAATTCATATTATCAACATTAACCTGTGATGAAATGTTATCATTTACATATTGATTTATTAAGGAGGGCCAAGTATTTCTAAGTCTTAAACAACCACAACAAGATTGATTCTCACATCAATACACATAATTGATTATTCATAATGATTGACTTACTGTCACAAAAATTGCTGCATACATCGAAACAGCTGCTCCCAGTGAAGGAAATGACGTTCTACATTTAATATTGAATAATAAAATTAAAGCATTAAGATTATTCAAAATAAAATATTGGTACATCATAGATGTTTAAAACAAAACAAAAAACTTCATTTATCACTGTTTAATGAATATTAATTGTAGAGGTTTGTATTTATTTTGTGATTAATGCTAAGAACTACAATATCACTTGAATCTCAACAACAAGGAACTATTAATCATTCTAACTATAATATCTTCATATTGATTGATCAAGTTAATGGCTATTTGAGCTCAGTCGCCCCGTGGATAACACGTTGGGTGTTTAAAGTAGCAGGTACTGAGTTCAAATTACAGTTTAAATATCAATATTAATAGGATGAAATCAATGTCCCATATATTATTGCACACTATCATTTCAATAAAAAATTAATATCAGATGGGTTTTGTGGATATTATAGTTATTTCAATGGTTGAAATCATGAGTCATTTGAAGCTAGACCACCATGGAAAACCTGGAAGCACTGGACGGCCGTTTCATCTTATTGTGGAACTCCTCAGCAGTGCGCATCCACGACCTCGCTCCCTACGAGGTTCGATGATCTTAACCACTGAAATTACTATAATATCCACAAAACCCATCTTATATTAATCAACATATGCTCACTAGTGACTGGTTTCAAGAGGTTTTTCCTGGAGTTCTAGTGAGAAGTATTGACCAGTGGAGTTCAACCAGGTCTGTTGTGAGACAGTAACTCATTGGTGACAATGGTGAATGTGTTGTTCAATTTCGTGAATTAGTTGAAGTTAGACATTAACACCGCTGGATGCTGGCTCAGTGGTCTAGTGGTCAAGTGCTCGTGCGCGAAACCAGTAGGTCCTGGGTTTGAATCTTGCAAGGGGCGAGGTCGTGGATGCGCACTGCTGAGGAGTCCCACAATAGGACGGAACGGCCGTCCAGTGCTTCCAGGTTTTCCATGGTGGTCTAGCTTCAACTGGTTCATGATCTTAGCCATTGAAAAAATTATTACTTTATTTTATGTCATTTCTAAGAAGTTTATACACTCACCTAGCCTCTTTAAGTTTTAAAATATTATTCTCCATACAATCTGCATTTGTAAATAATCCATCTGATAAGTGACCAGTTGATGATTCCGGAGAAGGTGTTGTAGCTACTGTAACTAAATATTTACCTTGCTTAGCTAATTGTGCAACAATTAAATCTAATAGTTGTGGATCTGATTCAATTGCACTGCGTTCATCTGTAGATTGACGTGTTTTTTGTATTATTCTATACCATTTAGGACAAACATTTTCAGATGGACGACATATTTGAATGAAATCTGGTCGAAGACGTCCAACAGAAACTTTAATTAACCAGACTAAAAGCATTGTTGTAAGAAGGCCAAAAATGTAAGTAACTGGTGTTTTTAAGAGAGAAGACAAAAAAAGAGAAAGGATTTTTACAAGAAAACATGAAATAATTCTATAATTGTGTAAGACTTTAATTAGTTGAAGTTAGATATTAACACAATTGGATTCCGGCTCAATGTTCTAGAAGTTAAAAGCCCGCGTGCGATGCCGAAGGTTCTGGGTCCGAATTCCACGAGCGGGGTCGTGGATTCGCACTGCTGAGGAGTCCCATACTAGGACGAAACAGCTATCCAGTGCTCCCAGGTTTTTCATGGTGGTCTAGTTCATGAACTCAACTATTAAAATAAATCTGTTCCCTCTCATAAGTGAAATTTACATAAAGTACATATTTATACTTAATTGAAGAAAAAATCTATGACTAAATGGCATACATTATTTGACTGATCATTAAGAAGCGACAGTCCGTTTAAGCAAACTAATAGTATTTTAGATATTTCAACAAACGCTAAACTTATTTAGTCGGACTAGCTACTATTGAACATTTCAGACTTTAAAAATGTCTCTCATTTTCAATTTATGTTCGAACAAGAGCATTTTGATATTGAATCTTTCTTTTTTCTCACAAAAGTCTGACCAGTTAATAATAAAAATATTTGTTTTTGTTTCATGCCAATGAATCGTTAAAAAAATCGTCTTTCCGACGTTTCGTGACTTTATGTAAGCCACTTCTTCAGGGTAAATAAAAATCGATTTTTTTATGTATTCTGAAGAAGTGGCTTATATGGAGTCACGAAATGTCAGGAAGATAATTATTCAACTCATTAGGATCAAAAAGAAAATAGTTTTATTATTAACTTTCTACCTAATACTCAATTTATTTGAAACTATAAAGTCCCAGCCATGGTATTGATATCAATAAATTCATTCTGGTCAGTGATAAAGATCATAACATCAAGCTGATAATCATCCACAAAGTCAACATATTCAAATAGTTGATCAATCAAGATATCTGAAATGAATTTCATTAATTTAATACAAATGTATTTAATTAAATACAGTGCATAATTAAACAAACTAGGTTTGATTATATTTCTTTGATAAAGTTTGAACCAAACAGATTGTCGATCAAAATGTAGGATTTACTACTTTTAATCATATTTACGCTATTATTAAACATTTTGGTAGCATGTAAGTGTATCATCTTTCAGTGAACAAATTATTCTGCTTTTTCTTTCAATATTCATTTGTTTTCAGGCTTTGTGTCAAGCGAATTTGTTTACACTATTCACTTCAACTTAGACTACTGATTGAATACTCATATAAGCAACATGAGTTTTGTGGATGCACAGAATTTTCAATAAAAAATACACATCTTCATTTAGGTAAATACCTAATGTATGTGTGTATAGAGAGAGAAAGAGTGAGAGAGGTGAAATTTTGTAGACTTACTGAATAGACGATAAATTTGACCAATAAATTTCATAGTACCCCACAGTTTTGAATTAGTTTTTGTTAGGCACGTTTGACAACAGTTGAAGAAATAGAAAGTGATTTCTGAGAAACAAATCTACAATATAAAAAAAGGTTCAATACAAAATTGGATTCTTTTATAGACTGTTTCAGTAAAAGGAAAATATCAAACTTCAATTAAGTGAATAACTAAAAGACCTATTCATACCTCCAGTATGTTCTTCACTGTGCCACTAAATTATCAATAATGATGTTTTTTTTAATCTTATCATCTATATAGCGATAATAAGATGTTAAATAGTTAATTGTGTTTTTAGGTGGTCCGTTTTCCAGTTTTACAAGGAAAATGTCCGCCAGTAGAGGGCCCAATGGTGACTCCATGGCTACCCCATCTAGTTGTCTATAGTATTCGTTATTAAATCGAACTTTCATATTTATGCAAAAAGAAATAAAAACTTACTAGTATTAACGGTATAATTATTGAACAGGTAACAATTGAACTAATTGTCATATGATGATAAAGATCAGTTTGTGATTGTGGAAATTGTAACCATTGATGATCATTTTTAATTCCTTGTATAAATTGTTTATCAGTTGGATAATTACGACCATATAATTGTTTAACAGTATCTCTCGGTCCATATAATTGTTGTTCCATAGAAGGAATAATTAATTTCGGTGGAATCATTAATCCTAGATCACCATCCCAAAATTCTGGATTAATTCTTTTTACATCATAAATATTCCATTTTGATTGATATTGTGATAGTTGAGATAATGGATTAGGTGTGGTTAATGTAGGGTAGGACGATGATGATACAGCAGTTTGTTGTTGTTTACTAAGCATATTCATACGTTCCAATAGAGGTTTCAGATTAAGATTTGACTCACCAATATTACCGAGATTACTAACACCGCTACTACTAATAATATTATCTGCATAACCGGGTGGTATATCAGGACATTGAAACTTTCTTTGATACAAAGGTATCCAATCAGCCCATCTGAAATGAATAGAAAACTAATAACTAAAAAGAAATGCTCCCAGTTCATTATTCTTTCATTTAATTGGATTTTTTGAATAAATATAACTTATCTCAAGGATTTTTGTGAAGTCGTAGGTAGTAATTGTTATATATTGATCTCATTTGAACCATCATTGAGTTCCAAGGAGCACTGGTTAATTTATAACTGGAGTCGGAATTATTTCATTGAACGCCGGCCCACTGGTTCTAATGGTTATACGTTCTCGGTAGGACTTAAAGGTCTTGGAATTGACGGTGATATTATTTAGGAGTCACATACCAGGATGGGATAATTATCCAGTTCTTAATAGCATAAACACATGAATTAACCAGTAATTGAAGCCATGATTTCCAAGTCTTAGGGAAAACGTATGGTTTTTAGACCATTGAATTAATATCCCCAATGGAGTAGTCTAAAAGTCATGAATTCGATTACTAGTTGGTTCATCTATCTACACTAATGAAATTTTTCATACGATAATGAAAGATCTATTTCCAACTGATATTGTTCTATGACGAAAATCAACCACAAAATCAGTTTATTCATCTGTGAAAAGTAGCAAAGCATCTCGCTAGAAGTAAAGTGACAAACAATTCAATAGAACTATGAGTAAGGAATCATACCAATTAATTTATCGATCTTACCATCTGAATAGAAAAAGTATTAGTTTTCTTCCCAATTTAAAATTTCTGATAATCAATACAAAATGAAATTTATTACCGTTTAACCTATGTGATTGGCTCATCAGTTTCATGAAATAAAATGGGACAATATGAAAAGGAAGACTTAGGGATTTACCAGCATAGAGTTGCAGAGATTGTTGAGTTTTATTAAGATCATAGACCAATCAGTACCAAACCACCACTGAAAACCTAGGGGCATCAGAGAGCCGTCTCATCCTGGTAAGGGACTCCTCGAAGGTGCGCATCCACGATCCCGCGTGGGGTATTTGAACCCAAAGTCTCTGGTCTCGCGCGAACCTTTAACCTCTAAACCACCAAGTTGTTATCCAACAGCGTTAATGTCAAACTTCAGTCAATCAATGATATCGCGCGACCATCTTCCATTGTCTTCGGTGAGTAACTATCTCACCCCCGAGATTGTGAACGCGCACTGCTGAGGAGTCCGACACTGGGACAAAACGTTCATCCAGTGCCTTCAGGTTTTCAGTGGTGGTTTAAGATTAATCGGTTCGTGACCTCAATTAAAACTTAAGAACCTAACTGGTAAATACATATAATATCCTAGTTGAGACGTGTTAGCCAGATTTACCTGCATTCTAGTGTTGATTTGCATACAGAAACTAGAATTCACTGAAATACTTAGTGGCTATTTAAACTTAATGGCTTAACGGATAACGGATTAGTGTTTAGAGCGATAGTTATTGAATTTACATTTCTATGTGAATATTAACACATTCATATAATGAGTTCCAAATGAAAAGAAATGCTCATCCTGAATTCCACTGCTAATAACAATTCAAAGATATAAAAATTTATAACAAAAGGCTATAATCGAGGTGATCCTCTTAAGGTATACATATGTCAGTAGAGACTGATCAACTTCAAACCTTAATTTCAATAACGAGAAATGAAAAACTACTAAGAATTAACAGACAAGCAAATTAATATACCTAAATAGTTAGCCCAAAAAAACAAATATCTTTAACTTACAAAGTAACACAAATCGATCGAATTCTAGGGTCTGTGTACAACCATCCATCAGCAGAACAGCTTTAAAATATAAAATAAAATGTAGAATTTTTATTGAATGGTATTCAATAAAACCTTGTCTTGTAATATACTAAGTAGTAAGTGATCGGTCAACAATAATTAATCATTGAGTGCTAAGCAATGCTATATTTGCTATGTTCTTCACATTAATCGAATTCTGTTTATCAAATTTCAGTGTGATCATTTGTCTAAGTACTTTAACATCGTGATGCTCTTTATTTCGTGATAACAAATTATAGGGTCCTGGTTTGAAACTAGGCTTCATTCTAGTTGGCACTTTTTGATAGTGTTTCTTCTTGTTGGACGCTTTTAATGGAGGAATATTGGAAAAAGGAGAAGTAGCTTTATTTCAGATCATCCTATTTCTTCTAATTCTTTACATAAGTGCCTCTAACAATAGAGTTTCACAGCAAAAATCACGAGGAAAGACACTAATAGGACGTGAACTTTAAACAGTAAAAGATTTGGTGAGACTACACAAAGGTGAAAAAACAACTAGCCCACATGAGACCAATACACTAAGGTATGCACGTGACCACAGAACAGGAAACGAGCATTGTTCTGTCATGAGAAACAACTATTCAAAAGACGGTGAATATCGATTAGTAGAACCTAACTCAGCTCTCAGCACTTTCCTTGCTGTTTTTAAACTTCTGATGGAGATGTCAATAAAAGTTTAAATACTATGGAGAGAATAAGTTCCATTAGTTTTATAAATAGGTTGTAGTGTCGGTTATTATGATAAGCCCATATACCTTATTCTAGCTTTCGAACAGCCCATTCTATTCATCCTACTTGAGTCACATTCCGACCTTGTTAATTATTCCCTTATCAATCATGACTGTTTTTATATGAGCGCGTAGGTGTGTGTACATTTCTTATCCCATTACTCATCACATATCTGTAACTTTTGGTAGCTATAAATATTGATTAACGCCTGACTAAAGGGGAGTTGGCTTACCCGCCATCTCCACTGCGCGTCGTTTTGCTTTGTTCTATCGCATTAGCTTTATATACAAAATATATGTATTCACAAGTCCATTCTCGTTAGTTGACTTATCTAAATCCGTTATTGACTAACGCGATTAAAGTCCATAATTATACACGAGAATAGGTGATATATATGTTTTAACATCAATCATCATTAAGATCTCCTTGGACTCAGATCTCGGGCCACTAAAGTGGAAAGCTCTTTCAACAACATCATTCGATCTAAATGACGACAAAACAAAGGGCCTCACAAGGTCTTGCTGATGAACATTGAATAACACGAATTCTAAGTCCAAAGTTTCGTTCTAATTACCTCACATTTTTAACCTCTATACATGAATCAGCTGATTTTCTCTATAGAATCGACCTAGTCCCCAGTGTGATATCAGACAAACTACGCGAAAAAAATTCTTGACAAGTTTTATTCTTAAAAACGCTGACAAATTACTTTATTTATTTTCTTTAAGAACTTTTAGTTAAAACAAGTTCCCATTTCTCCTACTAACAGCTAACCTACTTTTTCTGAAAATCATTATCCATTTGACATTCAATAACATTTCCAAAGATACGTCGTTTATTTTTTTTTCAAAAGAGGAAATATAAAGAATCTTTTAATATTTCACTGGTTGAAATCATGAGTCAATTGAAGCTGGACCACTATGGAAAACCTGAAAGTACTGGACGGCCGTCCCATCCTAGTATGGGACTCCTCAGCAGTGCGCACCCACGATCCCGCTTCCCGCGAGATTCGAACCCAGGACCTATCGGTCTCGCTCCAGGCGCTTAACCAACTAGACCACTGAGCCGGTATCCAACGGTGTTAATATCTAACTTCAACCAATCCACGAAATTGAGCCACCGTACATCATTGTCTTCAGTGAGTTGATATCTCACAACAGACCTTGTTGATAAAATAGTGACATGTTACTTAAGTTTGTATTTTGTAATGAAAAAAAAACCAACAAATTTTCATATTCCATAAAATTTCTTCCCTAAATGATAAATTTAAAGAAACTATTGACTGATTGATTAATTTTACATCCTTGAAGGTCAATTTCAATCTGTATATTGGTTAACTTGTTCCATCAGGGGGTTTTGTTGTTGCTGTTGTGGTGGTGGTCGTTGTTGTTAAGACACATTTTTTCAAAGTGACATTTACGTATTATTACTTGATTAAATTAGTCAATAAATAAAAACCAATTAAAACACCGTGTTATATTTATTGTTTTAATAGATGACATTCAAAAGACTCTATCATGTGATTATGTAATTTGTTGCCGAGTTATTAATTGATTTAATCATTTGAAAAAGGTTTTTTTGTGTTTTTTTTTTGTATATTTTGTTGTCATTCAAGATTGAATTTTAATTAGTCCTAATTCAATATTTTAAATATTCAATGAATGTAGTGTGAATACTGTAAATTAGAGTGTAATTTTCGTGAAATGTATTATTTGAAGCAGAGTGAAATTATTCCCATTTATCAGTTATGAACATAATTATATAGCGTAAATGATATATTGGATATAAAAAGAGTTAGAGTTCTCAATAATATCTCAAATGAAAATTATACTAACAGGCAATATTTAATTTTTCACTGGTTGAAATCATGAGTCAATTGAAGTTAGACCACCACGGAAAACCTGGAAGCACTGGACGGCCGTTCCGTCCTGGTATGGAACTCCTCAGCAGTGCGCACTCACGATCCCGCACCCCGCGGGATTCGAACCCAGAACCAATCGGTCTCGCGCCAGGCGCTTGGCCAAGTATTATTATTATTATTATTATTATTATTATTATTATTATTAGCTTTATTCAATATTATATTTTTGGTACAATATAGAATTCTCAGCACTGAGCTGGCCGGCATTCAACAGTGTTAATGTCTAATTTCAACCGATCCACGAAGTTGCGCCACCGTACACCATTGTCTTCAATGAGTTACTGTCTCACAGAATCTCTCGGGGTCGGGATCGTGGATGCGCACTGCTGAGGAGTCCCATACCAGGACGGAACGGCCGTCCAGTGCTTCCAGGTTTTCCATGGTGGTCTAACTTCAATTGACTCATGATTTCAACCAGTGAAATTTCGAAAAAAAATCTCCACAAAACCCATTCTGATAATATTTAATTACTAAATGAACGGAAAAATAACATAGTGCTTGATAGTAACCAAATCATTGAATATTTATGACTTTGTTAGAAGTATCCATTTTAAATGAATAAATACTGACAGAAACCGACTAAAATTTACCCCTAAATATCAACAACTTGAATTATGATTCCCATGCCTATTGCAATAATTAGTTGATGATTGAATGAACTCCTTAGCACAATGTGCAACATGTTAGTTTTCGTTATGATATTGTTACTAACATTAAGTGTCATTATGAATATTGAGACTCAGGTGCCGATAAAATTGGTTGATAAGTCCTGAATAGAACGAAACCAGTACTATGTATTCCATAGTTAGTCATAATCTAAAAATGTAATTAATTTTATTCATTTTGTTTAAGAATCAAACAGTAAAATAGCACAGGGCGATTTTTCATTAAGCTTTAGATAGTATATTTATGAATGTTCCGGGATTATATAAGCCCTCTGGGCACTAAGATTAGACACAATATGAAAATTTGTACATAGAAATCTGGTTCATTTCGAATTCTTAAATTTATCTATGCTTTCAGTGAGCTTACTTTGTCACAAAATCAAATAATTCTTATGTATGAACTCAACCAAATGATTCTGAATTATTTCTCCCCCACCCTGAGGATCAATTTGGATCTTCTAATAAAATTTCAGTAGAATGTCCCGTTCTTGATAGGAAACCTTTGAGATAAACCATTTCAAGAGTAGTGCAGGCGTCTTCTTAACTAGCGTTAAATAATAATTACACTAAATTGTAAATCAACTTAAATTTTAAAGTATGAATTATTAGATGGGGATTTTTTATGTGAATGGAAGTATCATGCTAGGGTGTCACGTTTCCATTTAGAAAAAGGTGAATGAAGTCCTAATCTACAATCAGTTTTTTGTCTTCGTCTTTATGTAGTGCTTTCCTATTTTAAGATCCAATGTTTCTAAGGATATAGCTTACAGAAATAAATAAGCCTAAAGATCACGTTTAGTTTAGACTACTTTTGTATTAACTTAGCGTGATACTCGTTTAGTTTAACGTATAGAACTTTTTTGTATAAATTCAGTGAAAAATCCACTTTGTTATTCCCACTATTTGAGTTAGGTATGATATACTTTGGATAAATCGTCAAATGTCAGTAAAATCTATACATAAATAGAATGTTTTGATTAATAAGTTATGCTTTTGGCTGAAGATTTAGGTGGAATTTCTATCTTTCATTTGCTTTAATTTTCTTTTTGGTTCCCTAATGCTTTCACATGGTAAGCATCTTAATGCTTCCACGATTATATAAGTCAGTACATCTAACGCTTGTTTGTTTTTTAATGGTGAAAAGGAAATGATTGAAACTATGGCAGATAAGAGTGGACAAAATTATTGTAAACTATTATGCAGCAATCATTCCTCTAATCTTTTGGTGAATCATCTGAATTTAGAAATGTCGAAACCCAGTTAGTCACTCGTCTCATGGCCTGGAGGCTTTGAGTCCGACCTCTGGTAGGATAGTGGATAAGCAGTCTGTAGTAGCTATAATACCTTCTTAACATATTCTAACTTCTAGACAGACCAATTATTCCCACCCTTCCAACATTTTGTGTCACTCATGTATATTTAAAACCGTCAATTGATCGCTGTTAAACTTGGGCGTCCCTAAGGCGTGCTTGTGCTTGTATGTTACCTATACTCGAATTGATTATCTGTAATCTATACTTCATTCCCCTTCAGTCAATCTTTATTCACTGATTTCGGCTGAAACGCTGATTTCCACATCGGTAAGAAGAAAATTGTTTAGTTAATCCTGACAGACTAGGTTGAAAAACCGATTCGGTGTTCAGGAAAGAGAAAAGCTTCAGTAGATATTTGAGTGATTACATAAT